CATGGTGTGTGTAGTAAGTGTAGCACAGAGTTCATTTTGCTGAAGCAAACACGTTCTTGGCTCAGCCACAGCACGGTGTGTTGGCATCCTGCCCCAAGGAAAGCAGAGTTGATCATGGTCAGACCTGTCCAGTCTCCACACACCTTCACTTTCTGAGCCAGCACTAAATGCTCCCAGCACAGGATCACTGCACAGAAATCCCTCGTGGCTTTTGGCCTTCCAGCCTTTTTAATGCAGTGAGGTGGATACCAGATTCTTGTCTCAACCTTACCTGGCCACAGCACTTCTCTGTCTCCAGGGACAGGCACTGGGTCAGCTCTGAATGTGCTACAACAGCATCCAGAGGAGCAGGGTCGAAGCCTTGGGGACCTGGCAGCACTTTGTTGCCAGAGGAATTATTTACTATGGGTCTACTTGTGTATTTTAATTCCAACCTCTGAGGCTGCAGCAGCAAAGGTAACAGGCTGGTTGGAAACATCCTCAGTGTGAGACAGCTGAGGCTTCCTCATTAATTCCTCCCCTAACTCGTGTAAAAAGCTCCGTGCAAACGAGGTTTTTGTGCAGATCTCATCTCTCAGAGCTGCTGGCACTGTGCTGAGGAGGGGCTGCACAAACTCTGAATTGTCCAAGTGTCTGAGGGGCTGCAGTGCCTCTTTGCAGCAGGGTGAGGGCCTCAGCTCTGTGTGTCTGGTGTTCAACAGACCTGAGACTGCTGGCTGCTTTTGTTGCTGTTTTCTTCTAAATAAGTAGAAAAGTAGAAAATGAAGTAGAAAAGTATTAGGCTATATTAAAACTCAAGGAAAGTGCTAGCAAATGCAGTTGGGGTTTCGCTGGGAAAATGGTAGGTGATGTCTGTGTGTGAGTAACTACAGCTGGAATCTACAGCTGCAGATCAGCACTGGCATAATATTTTTTTCTGTGGTGTCTTTTTCTTTCTTTAAAGCTAGTGTTCAAATATTTTAAACATCAAAGTCTTCCCTTCTACACATTATTCATTCCTGCAAATGTCTCCTATCATGCAGTAGGATGATCAGAAAGGTACGTCTCTTTAGATATGGTAAGTCAATCTTGTCCTTTTGGAAAAGTGGTTGGGAATGATTTTATGGTTATTAACTTGAATTCAATATTTTTTTTTCAACTTAGGCTTTTTTAAATTAAAAAAACTTTCAAGCAACTTTTCAATCACCCTCTTCTTTCCTTTTCTCAAAAGTAAAATCTTACTTTTTTCGCTTCATCAGCCAATTCCTTCATCTCATTTAAAATGAAACTCAACATAAAACACCTCATAGGAAATTGAAACTCACTGGTTATGTGAATATGTACCCACCATACCTGGGACTGAAGGCATGGTGCTGCCAAGGGTTCTGCTGTAGGGATGGCACTTTCACATGGTCTCTCTTAAATTTTTCTGAGCACTTTATGGGAAAACTTTACTTGAGAACTGTCCAGATGATGATGGGTATGTTGATCATGCTCAGTTGCTGTACAATATGCAGATTTCAGTGGGTGGCTGAAAAAAAAGTGTATTGGTTGAGGTCAGTAACTCCAAATGAACTGGGGTCAGATTGACTTGGAGTCAGTTGCTTTGAGGAGTTGCATGATGGGCTCTGCAGATAATGGCTGTAAGACTGATGCTTTACTAAAGTTCTTTTCAAAATGTTTTAGTAGCTAAGTAGAACGGGATTTTAAATGCAGAAGCATCTGAAGTTTTCCTCTATATCATCATCTTCATGCCACGATGGAGCATTCTGCAGTAATCAAGAGGTAACAGAAGCAAATGTAACTGTTGTAAGGTCAACGTTGCACAAAACCAAGCACAGCTTCAAGGAGAGCCCCAGACAACAGCAAGGTTTGGTTTTACATGCTGCTGTTACCATTACAGCCTCAGCTCTTTGACAGCCCAGCAGCAGCTCAGAAGTGCCCCCATGCAATAAACCATCTTTGCTGCTTTTGGGGAGATGCCTGTGGCTGATGGATATTTCAGAGTGCTGACTGGCTTTTCAGAGTTTTTACCTCTGGCTGGTTGACACCACCTTTATCTGCAGCCAGCTGTCCTTTATCCCATCCTGGTGTTCCCTTTGGCTGAGCACAGGGGTGTGCAGTGTGATCACCTGCAGGCTGCCCTTTGAATGCACACCTTGGTGTGCCTTTACAGCATCTTCCTGATCCACCTCCAATGATGAATGGAAATAGGAACCCTGTGGAGATGACTAGGAGTGAAAAATCTGTGAGAGAGAAACTGGATTTGTGGTTTGGAATGGAATCCCAGCATTGCTTCTGGCTTGATCCATTGATCAGTGCCTTCCCATGATCTGTGTTTGTAGGATGGATCAGCAATCAGCTGATTCGTTTCAGCTAAAGCATTCTCACTGAAATCCAGCTGTTGCATGTATTGATTTTGATCAAATTTTCTTTTGGCAACATAAATCTTTTCTGTGGGAAATAAAATTGGAACTTGACCATCTTGGGCAGGAAACAGCAGCTTCAGCTCAAGTGTTGTTTGTGTGAAAATATCACAGTGCCCTTTTTTGTTAGGTTCCAAGGAAAAAATAATTTGATAATGAAATTTTTCCACACACACTTCTTCTGTCTTTCAGTCAGCTCTAGTACCTCTTTTGCAACTTGCTTTGAGATGTCTGAAGCAACAGCAAGGTGTATATAAGTTAGCTGTTATTTGAATGATATTGGGTGAGGTTTCAGCCATATGAACATAGTCTGTGGTGTGTAGAGAAGAATATGAGAATATTTTAAGCTGACCATTTAAGAACATTTACTTAAGTGAAAAAGTGGTTTTCTTTAGCTAAGCTAGTCATGGATGAAATCATGTCTGTGAAAGCCAGTTCAAAACGGCAGTGGTGCAAAAAAAATAAAACCTCATCAAAACTTGGTAAATTCTCTGAGAAAGCTGAAGGTGTTTTACAAGCCTTGGGACAAAATATAAACTCGTGTCAGCATCCAATCTGAATTCTTTTGACCAGCTTGTGAACTTGGAGTTTATAGTAGAAATAGGGATATAACAGATTCTTAACCATATAAAGACCAGCAGGTGTTGCTATAATATATTAAATGCTGTGGAGCCATCAAACAAGCTGCACTTGAGCATTAGTTCAATATTTTCTTAAACCAAATTGTTATTTGCTAGGAAAATGTAATGCTGCGAGAGATTTGCAGTAAGAATACCACTGAAATAATCACAGCACTGGAAAATTTCAGATTCTGAGCTGCTTCTGCTGAATGACTAAGAGTTTTGCTACAGCTTGAGTGAAAGATCTGAACACCTAGGCATTATTCGTGTTTAAGAATCCAGTAATATAGGAAATAACTAAATCCTGTACATATTTCCATATTTCTGTATTTGGAAGAGATGACACTGCAGAAACTTATGGTATCTTCTTCCAGGGATAAGATTAGGTGGTAGTGAAACTCTAGTTTAAGTTTTTTCTGCTCAACACAGGTCTCAGTGGTGATCTTCAAAAGACCGGGGAGAATTCCTCTAGAACAGAACCACATCTCAAAAAAGTGCACCCTCAGGGGCCTTGCAGAAGGTGAGCAGCAGGAGGGTCAGAAGTAGGACCAGCAGTGGAGAATTTGTATCTCAGGAGAAGCTGAGCAGGACTTGCCAAGTTTCAATGAATTCGGGGACGTTGTAACTTTTGCTAGATTTCAGTTGGCATTTCAGCTCCTGAAACCAAGAAGGAAGGATGAAAGGAGAAAATTTCCAAAACCAGGATATATCCTATGGTATGCAACCCTCTAAGTGAGATGGGTATATTTTTTTGTATAAAAAGGAGGATCACTGTGAACATGAATGGAGAAGCAGTTGAAAGGGCATATTTAATGCCCTTAGGTATTGAGATTAAAGAGTTAATGGGTTTGACCTGAGAGATTATCAATTTAGACTAGATATAAAGAATAAATATTTTCTGGCGAGGGTGGTAAAATGCTGTCATAAGTTGCCCAGAGAGGTGGTGGATGTCCCATCCCTGGAAACATTTGAGGTCAGCTCCGACCCAGGGCTCTGAGAAACCTGATCTAGTTGAAGCTGCCCCTGCTCATTGCAGGGGGATTTTAAGCATCTCTGCCAACTTAAACTATTCTATGAGTCTATATTTCTACGGATGCTTAGCAAGAACTTCTCTTGCCCGTGGATGTGGTCCCAACCATGTCCTTTCCATGTAGGATCCCAAGCCAGCGCCGTACTCGGGCTGCAGGGAGCTGAGTGCGTTACCAGCTCTCCCTCTCTGGGAGCGTGTGAACTTGGTTCATCTCTTTTCCACCGGTAAGACGGGTGGGGCATCATCACCTCCCCTCCAGGGCTGCACCGCAGCCAAGGACACCTTGGTCCTGCCGCCCTCAGGAGCTGCCCGTGGGCGATGCTGGGGCAGGACGAGCGCTCTCCAGGTGGGCAGCGGCCGTAAGATGGCCCCGGGCTCGTTCGGCCCGCGGGGAGCGGTGGCGGGGCCGCTCCGCAGGGCGCGGACGCGGGGCGGGCGAGGCGGGGCGGGCTCCGCCGTGTGCATGTAGATGAGATCCCGCGGAGCACGTCACTCCGCACCGGCGCTCTGCGTTCGGGGCGGCGGACAGAGAGCGAGGGCGGGCGGGCGGGAGCCGCCGGAGGTAGCAGGAGGAGGAGGAGGAGGAGGAGGAGGAGGAGGAGGAGGAGGAGGCTCGGCGGAGCAGAAGCGCTCGGCCCCGCTCCATGCCGCCCTGCCCGCCGCGGTGCGGGCCCCGCGGGGCGACAGCGGGCACGGGGCGGGGAGCGGCGCGGCGGTGCTGAAGGACAGCTCCGCTCCCGTGAGCTCCGCTGCCTTCGGCTCCGCTCCCGTGAGCTCCGCTCCCCCCGGCTCCGCTCCCGTGAGCTCTGCTCCCCTCGGCTCCGCTTCCCCCCGGCTCCGTTCCCGGCTCCGCTCCGCGCCCCGGGCGCGCCCCTCGCCGGGTGGCCGCGGGGCCGCCGCTCGCCGCGCCTGGATGCGCCCGCCGCCACCGCGCCCGCGGCTCCCATGGCGGTGGCACGGAAAATCAAAACTTTGTTGACGGTGAACATCTTGGTCTTCGTGGGCATCATCCTCTTCTCCGTCTACTGCAGGATCCAGGACCGCTCCCAGGAGCTGGTGCAGATCGTCCGGAGCGCGGACCGCCGGGCCAGGAGCCGCGGCGCCAAGGTGGGCAGCCTGGCCGACAGGGAGTCCATCCTGCAGCGCCTGGACCACCTGGAGGAAGTGGTCTACAACCAGCTCAATGGTACGAGGGGCGGGGAGGGGATGTGCTGTGCCCCGGGAGGGTGCTGCAGGCTCGGCAAGAGCCCCCCAAGTGTTTCCCCGCTGGGGAGGGCAGCCCGGCACCGATCGCACCACCCCAGAGCCCGAGTGCTGAAAACCGAGGGCAAGAGGTGATGCGGGGATTGCTGGAGGGGTTTGTCGAGCCTCCCACATCTCTCTTCCTGCCTCTCTGCCAACTCTTGGTCCAAAGTCAGGACTTCCTCAAGAGATGCAAAGTTCAGGATGCTGCAGGTCAGGGTTTTCAGGATCAGAGGAAGTCCTTGCAAACTGTACCGGGTTTTACAGTTTGCCTGGATATATTAACTCTGCATAGGAAGTTGTTTGTATAGCAAATGAGATATTAGATTATAGCTGAAAGTCATATACTTGCTTTCAGAACTACTTTAAAAACATTCTGCTGAGTTCTGTCATTGTGCACTATTAATGTTCTGTTTAAACCTAGCACCCATATGTTTCCTTAATGATTTTGCCATTTAAATTTGTTGTTGTCATTGATGAGGAGGGGAAGCATTCACCAGTTTTTTTTATGACTTACCATTCTAAATCACCAGCCCTGAAAAATATTGCTAGGTAAGCAAAGAACCCTTCCATGGTAGTTAAAACAGGCTAAGCCATCAAAGTTGTTATAGGACAGATAACATTTCATATAGAAACTAATACTTCAAAATGAGTGCATTTGTATTTGCATAGAATCGTAAAGTTCTAAGTGTGAGACATCAAAGAAATAAGTATGTGATTAAATACAGCAGTGTTTTGGGCAAAAAAAGGCTGAAGGAGTGAACTTTTGCATGAAATTGTAATATAAATGTAACATTTAGTGTTTCGCAGCAAATAAAATTTTCAGTGTAAATATGTTTAAGTGGAGCAAATGTGCTTCTAGGCTGCTTCTGGAAATCTTACTCGTAACGTTGATTTAAGAAAGGCTACTGTAGCCTCAAAATGCAGACAAATAGGAGGGTTAGCCATAAAGTATGTTTCCTATTACTACTTTGTGAATGAATGTATAAATCTAAGTAAGTTAGGCTGTTATGGTAATATGCAGTTTGTGCCAGCAAGCGTTAGGGAACAGGCATCCCCTCATGCTTTTTTCTGGATAAACAATGCAGAGAGAGGGAAAATGTGGAGTGGGGTGATAGTCCCAAACCCACACATTCAGGAATTAAAATGAAAGTGTCAACAGCTGTGTTTTCTAACCATATTTTGGAACAGTTTTGAAGAATATAGGATTTAAGAGGAAAGTCGTTCTCATGAATTCTACCGAGCCACAAAGTTCCCAAACTAAATTAGATTGCTCTGCAAGACGTATCCATTACAGCTCAATGAATTGGGTATTTTTGGCCCAAATAGATCTGTTCTTTACAGGTGTTTTTTACAGGAGAGACTTTGGGTAGGATTTCCCTGTGCTGTGTTCATCCCAGCATAGCATCCCCTGGAGAATCAGCAGGAGTCCTTAACGTGCTGGGCAGGCACCATTGCATGCAATGACTGAAAGTTCTCTGTAAAGCATGCCTCTATTTTGGGAACTGTTTTCTTCATCTTCTTTAATTCCATTTATTGGATATGGGTATTCATGGTGAAATGACTTGAACTTAGTGTTACATTGCATCTTCAGTTTCTATCAAACACTACAGGCAGTTTTCTTTTCCTGAAAGTTCATACACAGAAAAATACAGAAAGTTTTTCAAGCTGAGCTGTTCAAATGTCCAATTTATTTCCCCTTAATTTTTCTCTAATGTGATTTTTGGGTTTCTTATTATTACACAGTGTTACTTAAGACAGATTAATTCTTTCATCATAATTCTGAAAAAAAACCCCACTTTTTCTCCCCCATCATGTTTCAACAAAAGCAAAAAGTCCTAAGAAATTAGGAGGTGCTCCACTGAAATAATCAGAGTTGCATTGCTGTAAGTGAAATCAGGACCAAGCATCTCTGCTTGGGTTTAGCTCGCTGCTATTCTGTTTGTGATATCATGACTCATTATTTATGCCATTAATGGGATTCAGGGGAGCCTGTGTGACAGGGCTGTGCTGTGTCACACAGCCAGGCTGGTGTCACACAAACACTCCGTGTGCTCTGGAGCTCTGCAGCTCACCTGAATGTTGAGAAAGGTTTCTCAGCTTTCCCAGCCCCTGTCCTGTGCATGCTGCCTGATCACAAGGTCACAGAGCTGGCTGAGGCTGTCTTGGATGTTACTTTTTCATAAGGTAGGTCAAAGTCTCTTTCAAAGTCTCTTCTGTGTGGAGAGACAGACATGGGTAGACAGATTTTATTCAGGAGAAATATGAGTTCCTTGCATACCTAGAGCCCCTCAGGAGGCTGAGTCCAGCTCAATGTTATCATTGCAGCAGGTCAGCCTAGCCCAGTATTTCAGTTTTCTGCTCTTGGTCCTTTCTCTTTGAGATCAGCAAATTTAGAACTATCTATTAAGTATATTTTTGGTAATATCTCAGCGTTCTTTTATTTTATTTTATTTTATTTTATTTTTCTCTTCTATTCAGATTGAGACCTGAACTCATAAGACTTACCTGGATTTTCTAGGGACTCTGTTGATGATCCAGTGCAATAAAAAGTCACTCTGTGAGAGACCAGCCGTGCAGCTGTACAGACTTTTGTTTCTGTTCAATCAAGGAAATGTTATTTAGAAGTGTGTACCTTCTACAAGGAAAATAAACACAGGCAGTAACATTACAAATGTATAAAGAGGCAACCCAAAACTGATCACTTGAGAACTCATTAACTTTTCAGTCTGAATAAAATCACTGAGTGCAGTGCCTGTGGAGGTGTGTGCAGAACACAGAGAACTGTGCATGAAAGTCAGGAGAAAACTGCTCCTTGCCATTATCTTTGGCAGAACAAGAGTTTTTAGAATAGGATGAATGAGAATTGCCACGATTCCCTGCAGTCGTGCAGACATACACCCAAACAACAGTTTTCATTTGGCTCGTGCTCTGGTTTTTTATCAACTTGGGAAAAATAGTATTTCTGAAAGCTCTCTTTTCTCTCAGCTGCTGCTGGGTTTGGTGGAAGCAAATGAACAGAGCATGTAAAGGGAAAGGAAAGCAATGAAACGTGTCAGTGGAATTTTTTTGGTGAGACTTTGTATTACCTCCTGATGTTTGACCTTGGGTACAATGTTTATTTTGAAAAACAGAGTTGTTATAGAGCTAGCTGAGCAATCTAGATTTTTTTTATTATCTTTTGCTATGGTATTGCTATTGATGGATATATTTTATTGTCATTCAACACAGAACTCACACCAGCTGGACTTGGTAGTAATTCATTAAATGTCATAATGATAACACATTGGTATTTTTGTCCTTTGCTTTTACTTTTTTTTGTAAAGGGGAAAAATTAAAAATTATTTAATTGACTGATTTTTTTTTCCCTTAATCATCTTTGCATCTAAGTCTGTTGCTAATGATTCACCATAGAGGATAAAGAATTTTTGATGCCCCAAGTAGACCATAACCTTTCATGCCAAAAGCAATTGAAGGTCAGACTACAATTTCAGTCTAATTGCCTTTTTCCCTTTTCACTGTCTCTTTCCAGTAATACACAACAATCAATACAGCATGTAATTAGATTTCATTCAATCTGCAAAGATTTAGAGAGCTTTCATCTTCTCATTATGTATTCTCACATCATGTCTTCCTACCCATGTCTTCTACACTAGACCCCTTTGACCTGTTCTGTTTTAGATGTGGAGGGATAAGTTGGGAATATTCCCTTGAATTTGACAGCTTATCATTCGTTGCACATCATAATTTGATTTTTGCTCTCTTTGGGAAGATTAAATGCAATAGCAATTTCCAGTGTGATAAATGGGGTTTACATTACATATGCATTTCATGGAGGAGGCTGGGGGAAAAAAAGTGGACAATTCACATAATTGCAGCACAGAGGCTTAAAATGATGGAAATAGCAGGTCCTGGGTGCAGAGTACTGATTCCTGCTGACTGGGACTCCTGATTTTTAGAGAGCACTGGAAGCCAAGTGATTGCATTTAAAATTCAGCCTGGCAATCTGCATAGGTAAAAGTTACAGCAGTATGTTTTAAAAGGGCAGTTTATTCTTCATAAGCTTGTGACTGGTTGAAAATGGGTCCAGATTTCCACTTTGAAAGTAAGGGTTGGGAACAGGCTGCAAGGGAGTCGTGTAAATGTCCACATCATATATCCACATTGTCAAAAAGAAGTTTTTACAGCTGGCAGCTCTCAGCTGAAGAGCAGTTCCTTGGCAGAGGAGAGAGGTAAAGCCACACATGCACAGGCACATTTAGTGTGACTGCAGCCTTGTACCAATGAAACTGCACCTTCCCATACCCACACATTTTATAACTATTTCTATTTAATGTGTTTATGGTCTGCTGCTAACATACATCTGGCAAAATTAGCACCTGAACATCTCCAGAAATATCAGCTCACGTGTGAGCTCTGCTCTCAGCCACGTGTTTTCCTGATCCTGGTGATGGACTTCTCCTCATCTGGTCTCATTTTGAGGACATTTTTAAAGAAGTGCAAGGTTGGTGTCATGAAGGCAGGAGGGAAAAATACTAATTTATTTATTTATTTATTTATTCATTTATTTATTTTAATTTAAGCTATTATTTATTGGTTTACCACACAGTATTTTCTATTATGCTGGGTCATTTTCTCAAACTTTCTTAAGTCGCCATTGCTACAGGGCTGACCTTCTTTATTACAAAATTATGGTCAAGTCCAACAGACCAATTTCCCCATCACACTTGCTTTGGTTATGTTAATCTTGATTTATGTAGCTGAGGGAACTCACAATCAGTGCTTTCAGAAAGGTCAAGGTTTTATTCTCCAAAACAACAAACAGAAAACATAATGAGCCAATATTTGGATAGGCCCTATATAAATATAAGGTAATATTCGAAATAGTATGACTCTATTTAGGCACTTCAGGAAGAAAAGTTCTAAAAGTTTAATTAAAAAAGA